AGAAACGCTGTTTTCCTGAAATACAGCTGAAAAAAGCAAAGGCGAGGAAATGTGTTGAACTCAAAGATTCCACGTAATTTAGTGACCTCTTCCTGAACTGCACACGGTCATCGAGGATTAATAAGAACAGAGAGGCTGTCCAATTAAAGCTCAACCTTGAGGGCTGAAACGTGATAAGACGACTTTTTGGTCTGATATGCGGGCGCGCATGGTAAGAGGAAGGGGAGGGGGCAGAAGAAAGTTACCTGAGCGAACTAGTGCAGCTTTTAGTGTGAATCTGTCAAGCTTGATTAAAAGTGCAATGCACGGGACAGCAGACAGTCAGACGAGGGAGGGAGGAGGCTGTAAGTGTACACGAGTGGAAACGGGGTTACGTCCATTATCCGTCTTACGATGGCATTGCGAGGTTGCCTACACAATCCAGCTGCGTAGAGAGTTCTGGTTTTCTTCTCCGTACTGCACCAGCTTCTGCAACATGCAGAAGACGCCTAGTCGTCACTAGTTTGTCGTCGCTTTTCTATTTTGCAAACTTGTTTAAGCCAAAAAGCTGCCTTTTTCGTTAATCAAATCATGCGCACTAAACAAATATATTTGAAGTTATATGGACATCGAAAATCAATGTGAACAATGCATACTACAAAAGTAACTATCTCCTACCGAGTGCACTGTTTTCCGGTGGTTAAAAACAGGCCCGTTCAAAAGTCGCAGTCTGACTTGACTGGAGAGTATCTTTGGATACTGCTTTAGGCTGACAGCTGAAGTTCGGAGACCTTCAACTTGCTGTTTCCCTTTTCTCTGCAGACCAGTATCACGACGCTCAGCATGTCTGCCATAGCGACCAATGGGAAGGTCCCAGCTGGTGGCTCCTACTTTATGATCTCGAGGTCTATTGGACCGGAGTTTGGCGGGGCCGTCGGTATCCTCTTCTATCTTCGAACTTCCATGGCAGCTGCAATGTACCTCGTCGGCTCAGTTGAAGTCTTCCTGGTGAGAGACGTTGTTTTCTCTTATTTTTTTAAATCATCAGCAAGTGCTATTGTCATAGATTCTTGTGTTGACAAGCAGAAGGATCCCCCAAGTCACAAGTCTGGGAAGACGGAATGAATTCGAACAACTTTACTGAGCACGAGTAGCTTTACAGTGGCCGCTGCAAGCGCCGCGTACAATGGCCA